GTCAGAACAAAAGCAACGACTGAATCGCTTCGACTCATCCTGCATGCATACGCACACATTATTGGTCGTCCGAACAAAACTTTTTAGTTCAAAGCAAAAGGTGTACGATTATCACACACTTTCTGAATGCGAAAGCAAATGAGAGTGATATAGAATCGATTTGCCATATTCTGTTGGCACCGTTCGGTGTCTGTGTTATTCTGCCCTTTGCATTTTGCTTTAGTTTCAACTGTTCGGTTGGTTGTGTTCAAATAAATTCATTAAATTGATGAAAATTCAATTGAAATAAAATTTAATGAACCGTGCTGTGATATTACCTGCTGTATAACATGCCCTAAATCAAGGTGCAGCTCATAGTAATCTGCAATTCAGTTCAGGAGTATAATGGTGGCAATCGAAACATTTGAATTGCATATTTAACGTGGAAGATCAAATGCATCACAGAGCGCATAGCTAAATGGTTTGGAATCCTTTGATGCATGCAGATATAATCCCTAATTCTAAATCATAAATTCTCATTTAACCTTTGACATTGTATGGCTTTTATTATTAAGCTCGTAAATTTTTAATACAAATTATTATGCTTGCAAATCGGTGTATGACGGTGCACACTTGGCACCGAAACACGCTGCAATACGAATAGATTAAATCACATAACCGTATAAAGAACCGAGAGAGAGAGAGAGAGAGAGAGAATCAAAATAAAGAAAAGGCGACAATGATGATAGGTCTCCCATTTGCCGCGTTTTTTTTTTCTTCTAGAGTTAATGACTGCAATCTATTCCATGCATTTTTTTTAATTGCAAAGCAGCAAAATTTCCATTCACATTGTTAAGTGCAAGTCATGTACATTTGGGTAAAATGGGGATATTGACATTCAAATCCATTTGGTTTTTTTCCCTTTCGCTTCTTAAAAAATTTAAGCGTTCGTCAAATCAAAATCTGCAGCGCCTCGAATCCTAGAGCATAAATGCACATACGTTCAGTAAATAGGGAGTGAATACGCGGGCGTGAGTATTGTTTACATCATTGTCTTTCAGCACGTCTGTATGATTAGCGTATGCTTGAGAGATGCTATTTGACTTCGATGCCACACCGAACACATTGTATTTATACGGCAATACATTGACATTATGGTGTTTTACAATGTCAATAGAAGTGTAGCTACAATATATTCATCCATTTCGCGGTTCAGCTGTCTAGGCGTAACGAAACGGTGAATCGTTTTGGTTTCAATTCAGAACGATAAAAAAAAATGCTTTCCATCGATCTCAAGAGTGAAAACTCAAAAATATTTCATGCATTTGTTCTTTCTGTTAGTGATTCGGTGTTTTTCTTTCAACTGGAAAAAAAAAAAGAAGAAAATCGAGAGAAAAAAAGAAGAAGTTTTGTTTGAGTGCATATACATACGTAGAAATACATACACACTCTTCACGTCGATTCAGTTCGGTTCAATTCAGTTTAGTTGTCTTGCCAGAATTCCTTCAGTGGCTCCTTCAAAAAAGTGAATACATGCTTGGATTGACTTGCATATGATTACACATCATTTACCAAACATTTAATAGTCGTAAGTACACCACAGGAATGTGCGCTGCTTGAGCACACACTCATTCAAATATAGAAATACACAGGCTCTCTTTCTTTCAATCGTTCACTCTCTCGTACACGTGCAGTACCCAATATATTGTACCTAGAGTTTAAAGTGCACGAAACATATTTGGAGGTTTTCACAATTCAACAGACAGACAGACATACTCTTGGGTATCTTTTGTTTCAAATTGTGAAAATAAAATGCAACAAAAGACGAGCGACACTTTTTCCCTTTCCTTTTTCCTACTGTTTCTGCTACTTTCTTGGTGTGTTGTTGGTCGTTGTTTTTTTTCTTCGTCTCACTTTATGTCGTTCTCTTTCTCTCTTTATTCGTTTGCTCGTTTGAGCGCACTTTGTTAAGTGTGAAATAAATAAATGACGTTGTGTGCGGTAAGTCACATTTTATATCTCTCCAGGGAAATCGTTGGAAATATACGATCCACATTTTTTTTATTGATTTTGTTACGTTTTGTGTGGCAAATATATGACAGTGCAAAATATATCTTCACAGGTGTTGCTCGCAGCTAGGCAAACCGGTGAAGCGCACATTTCAAACACGGATGACACAGGGAGAGAAATATGTTTATACATAACGATTTTTGGGGTGACGGTGGAAGAATAAAGTGATAGACACACGTATAAAGCGTGAGAGACGAGAGAGTGACTGCGGACACGGGGTAGAGGACAAAAAGCGAGAAATAGCAATGCAAACATTTGAAATGATATATTGTAAGTTGAGTGAATATTATGGTTTTGCCGTTTTGGATGGCTGACTGTGATATTTAATACAAACACTGTGGCATAGCTCTCAGGATCAGGATTGACAACTTTTCCGTTTATTTGATATTTATCGATGTTTTGACTATCTCACTGCCTCTCCTCTCTCGCTCTCTCCGTCTTTCCTTCTCTTTTGCTAGTTCTCTTATTCACTTTTTAAAGCGCCATGGCAAATAAAATCGAAATTCGTGTATCTATTGTTTCCATTGGTTTTTGATCACTTAAACTGTGGCACAAATATTTCTTTTTTCTTTGAATATTTCTATAAGTGAAAATCTTTCGGTAGAAATTAGTTGACAAAGATGTCACCATTAAAATCACATAGAGACAACACAAGAACAAGAGTGTTTATGTGTGGAAAACAAACAAGCTAAGATAGATGGAAGAAATAGAAAACCAACAAAACAAAACAAAAAACACAATGACATCAATGTGTCACCTGCACGTTTCTGGAATTCATTTTTGTTGTCGAAGTAAAATTTCGAGGAATTCATTGTAAGTGTCATATGAAATTTATTCGACAAAATGTTCTTTATGCGATTTGCTCGATAAATCGAAGCGTGTTTCACACCTCACTTTATTTCTATCTCACAATCTCTATTTGGTTCGAAATCCAACGCGTCTTCTGTCACGTGTACTTTGATTTCGCATTAGCAAAGTAGAGAGAAGCGGAATAGCATTTAGGTGGAAAGGTGAAGACAATTTTTATTAATTCCTCATCTGATTTGGTATCAAGAGATGGAAGATTTATCCATAATCTTTTGAGTCTTTGGCAAATTAAGAAGAGACAAGCATTAACTTTATTGAAATGTTGTACAGCATTTTCTCTCTCTTTCTCTCTCTCCCTCGTCGCCTTTTGTGTGTCATATTTGTCTTATGGTCTCTTGCTGAAAATCGGAAAATTGCATTTTTTTTTCCTGTTGCTATCGAATTCAGTCTCGTTACTTCTGTTTGAATCCATTTTCGACGAAAAGGAACAATGGCCAAAAAAGTTAAGAACGAAAAACTTGACTTGAAGCATAAAATAAATGTTTTTCCAAGCGTCATAAGGAAATTCCGAACGTAAAACCTACTTTTTTTCATTCTCCATCTTCTTTCGTACGTTTTGTACAAATAAAACCGATTGAAATGAAACGAAGAAAAGATGCATGCTGTTGAAAACAAACGATGGCGTAAAAGAATCAAGTCAAAAAGGCGACAAGACAAGATTTTCGACAAAATCGAGAAAAATAAAGGAATGAACGTTAAATTGAAAAGCATAACGCATATATTTGTCGGGTATTTGATCTACATCTTCTTTCGTCATGTTTGTATTTTTGCATTCGATGGAATTCAAACCCTACCAGCACATTTCAGTAGCGCAATAAATTCCAAATGCAATTGCATATATGATTGACACACACACACACACAATCACACACTGTTCTCTGAAGAGAAATCATGCACTAGAAAATGCACACGGTTAATTTATTGCATGCGTTGCCCGGGTCTCTCTCTCTGTCTCTCTCTCTTTTCTAATAACAAGCAAATGCGCGCCGCCCGAAACATAAAATGCAACTTTATGATGTGCACAGTGCACACACAACATTGAAAAATGTGTATGGCCATACGTTTTGAATTCGATACACAAACCTCTCTCACACCATGGCATCGAATGCAAAAGCTTGTGAGCGCAAAAACAAATACGGAATAAATAGAGGGATCGGAGCAAAGTAAGGCACACAACAACAAAAAAATCGTAGAAGATAACCGTACAAGAGTTTGAGAAAAAGAGTGAGATAGAAAAATGGCTACGAAAATCAAAGTGCTACTATACATATGCGAAATGATTTGAAGTGTAAAAGAATATCTCTGAGCGTTATCTTGCTGTCATTGATTGTTGTTGTCAGCGTATAATCCTTTTCTCTGGTTTCTCTGTCTCTTTTTTTTCTCTCTTTTCTATAGCAATATGTTTGTCTGAGTGAGTACGCGTTTCTTTTTTTGCAATATCGTTTGGTTTTGCTTCGTTTTCGGTGATTTTTTTCTCTGTCTCTTTTGATTCGTGTAGAGGGTGTATTTGTGTAGTTTTGTTTTACTCCATTTCCTTTGAAAGAGCTGAAAAAATTGAAAAAGATTTCGAAGCTTTCTCTGATGATTATTCGCTTCGTTGTTTCTTAGGATGTATTTTTAAATATGTTTTACCTCTTTATTTCGTTTGGTATTTTTTTGCACACGCTCTCTTCCACCATATTTTTCGTCTGTCTTTTCGATTTTACAATCGTTCAGACCGTATACGATGCAAAAAAAAATGAAACAATCCGTTGCAATCGACATGAAGAACTGCAAATGAGACAATGGTATGTGTTTCCGAAACATTGTCAAAGTTATCGATACGACCCGACCCAGCATTTTGAAAATGAAATCAGCTTTCGCTGTATATGTGAATATTGTATAATTAAGCCAATAAATCTCTGCATCAACTTCATAATTAAGTTATTCGATCTGTGCTCATTCGAATTTGGCATTTCCGAAAATTCGGCCGAATGGATCGCTATGCATAAGTAACATTAGTCATTCAAAAAAAAAGATGTTTTGATATGCTAACGAACACATTTTTTAACATTTCTCTTTTTTCTTTTTTCTTTTATTTGCAGCGAGGTAGCGACGAATTGCTCAGTCAAGCAGCAGTGATGGCGCCCGCTTCAGATAATAACAATCAAGATTTAGCAACCAAAAAGGCCAAATTAGATTCAACATCAACAGTTTTGGGTGGTGTTGGTGAGTGTATTTGATTTTCTAAAGCACAAAATTCATTCAGGGTGAAAATGTTGAAACTGTTGGAAAGCAAATTTAAGAACAAAAAAAAAATGGAATTTAACTGAAATGCTGCAGACATCCATTCGGTTTTGTCTCGGATACCTGAGCGGATTCCAAAACAGATAATATGCCGTAGTGTATTTCACATATTGTGCACAGTTTATGAACGAGAGTGATAAGAGTTTATGGCATTGCCAAATCAATTTTCTGCCGGAAGAAAGCATATTCAAATGCTGTTCGAATAACGGACACCACTCAATTGAAATCCCTAATGGTATAATTATGTTATTTGAGATGCTTCAACAATTTTTCCCACATCCCATGGGTACAGTTGCTAGTCAAATAACTACAAAACATTAACTAACTAATTGTGGTCTATTGTGGCAGCACTGACAAGTAGTATTTAGTAGAGCGGTAAAAGTGACTGCCTCGTTATGAATTAAGAATTTTAAGAAATTTGTTGTTTGTTGCATTCGACTACTACAATCAGTTTTCGATTACTTTTCAATGGCCATGGCGTACACAGACCAACAAAAAAATCTCAATCTTATTTTTCGATTATTCCATTGAATGCCGATAGAAGAAATTTTGCAATATGAACAATTCAAGAGGTTTTTGGGCCAGCGATTCCAATCGATAAACGATGAAAATCAATTGAATTGAAGAAAGAGTGGGAAAAAAATGCAAATGGTGTACTCATTTTAGCAACTCTCAAAACAGCTACTTCAAATGTTTTTCACTTTAAGGAAATACAAATCGATGTGGAATGCGTACTGACTACTAAAGAACGAGAAACAAAAAAAAAAAAGAAAAAAGAAAACCAAAGCAAATTGAAAATGAACAGAAAAATAGAGAAAGGGAGCGAATGTGGTTTGGGTCATGCAAAATAATGTCGTTGAATGACTGCTACAGGCATCGTATAATTAAGGCATACAGTTTCCAATTTGAATGGTCATTCCTCTTCTTTTATTTCACAACATACCGTCTGAATTTCTTTGTTAAGTGTGTAGCAGTTCTCGTGCACGCACACACAGTTATTCCGGTATTTTGCGGATCGCAATGAATCGGATCCGAGCACATCATAAACAAATAGTATTTTCAACAAAAACCATTCGAAGCGTGAAAAACGCAAAAACCACTGCCGCACACTGAATTAAGTTCAAAGATTCAAAATATGGGAAAGGTTGTACAGAGGAGAGAGAAAAAATGATGCACACACAGATAGATAGGAATGAAGAAGAACGAATTTGTGTATATGATTTAGATACAAATTGGTGAGTTTCAAAAGCCCGAATCCAAAAACTGAAAACCAAATTCGAATGAAAGTCAAACTGAATGCAACCAACATGTTTAGTGTTTACGATTTACCGTAATTGTCTGACGATGAAATATTGAAATCTTTGTTTTGTAGGAAAACCGTCGAGAGTAATACACATCAGGAATATACCAAATGATTCAAGCGAATCCGAAGTCATACAATTGGGTTTGCCGTTTGGTCGGGTTACAAATGTACTCGTGCTGAAGGGTAAAAACCAAGCATTCTTGGAAATGGCAGATGAGGTATGTGCTGCTGCAATGGTTGCCTGCTTCAATACGAATCCACCTCAGGTCCGAGGCCGAACTGTCTACGTACAATTCTCAAACCATCGCGAACTAAAAATTGATCAGAGTCATTCGGTTATTGTAAGTATAAAACATTTTGTACATTTTTTTTTTGTATGCACACATAAAAAACACCGAAATAAACTCGAAATGAGCAAGAAATATTTTCCTCTCAGTCATGGAACAGTTTTTTCTATTATTTTTTCTGCTTTTTTGTTATTATTGTCCTCCTGTAATTATTACACTTTACAGTGGCTGAGAGTTTTTTTTTTAATTTCACTTTTTGTCTTGTTACTTTTTCTGCATTGTTTTGGTGTCGTCAAATGCGGTCCTTATCATCATTTGTTTTGTACTATCCGTCGCAGCTTTATGGTATTATTCAAGCATCGCTGTTCGATCTCACAATTCTCCGTTATGTGGGTGTGATTATGTTCAGTTTTTTTTTCCTTTCGCTTCTGTAGAAGCAACGTTTCAATCGTTTAGATTGACATTTCCTCCTTTTATTCACGGCATCGATGTTCCACAAAGTCCAAACAAAAATGATAGAGAAAGAAAGAGAGAGAAGGAGAATGTGAAACTAAACGGCGTGTTTTTCAGCTCGACAATCATTACTATTTCCGCTTTGATATTCATGTGGCTCTTAAATTTTTAATCTTTTATCTCTTTTTCACTCTTCTCACGTTGTAATCACTGCTTTAATGCTTGCATCTAACGCACACTACTGTTATGTCAAAACAATCAACGCAAAGTGTCGCGAACACTATTTCGGTTTCATCAATGAAACTCCCTTCTATTCTAAATGAGATGTTCAACATCAGTATGGTAAAAAGTGTAAAAGCATTTATAATCTGCATCCAAATAGTGAATAAGAGACAAAACGAAATTATACAAAAAAAAATATCACCGAGCAATTTTCAAGCCAAAGCCATAAACACAACCGATGATTTAATAGACGCGGTCGCACACGTGTCCATATTTCATTTTGCGCATATAATCAAATTCGAAATAATTTTGTGCTCGTTGAACGAGCGTCCAAGTGGATGGTTAATGCTGTCAACCGATATGCACTTTCATTGACTATCACGCGGTCGTTCCATTTGTTCGGTTTTTCTCGTTACGTGTTCATTTGCACTCTTGTTTTACTTTTTTTATATCAATATAAATTTTTCTTTTATTTTTTTTCTCTTTTTTGTTTTTTTTTTATTATTATTGCGATTCTTCTGTTGTTCTTTTCGTTTTCGTTGGGCTGATATCTTTAAATACACATGCATACCATTAGAATGCATCAGTAGCATTACAAAGTCAAGACTTCCAGGTAGCATCACCAGCATCCGGTTCACCTCTGCCAATATCTGGAACGGATCCAGTATCACATGGTGTTCATCAAACAATATCAACTACTGGCGGCCAAAATACCGTTTTACGTGTGATAGTGGAATCACTATTGTATCCCGTATCGTTGGACATTCTGCATCAAATATTTCAACGCTTCGGCAAAGTGCTGAAAATAGTCACATTCAACAAAAATAATTCATTCCAAGTAAGTAGAGTATCTCACATCGAATTTTTGTCCAAAATACCAAATATGAGATGATGTGCATAGTCATGGTTTTGTCACACATTTTGTCGTTATTATAATTCATTGAAAAATTTGCTAACCAATTTCAAAATTGTCATTATGTCATGTCTTAGGCCCTGATTCAGTATCCAGATGCTCAAACTGCTCAACATGCGAGAGCTGTTTTAGATGGTCAAAATATTTATAACGGTTGCTGCACATTACGGATCGATAACAGCAAACTGACAGCCTTAAATGTAAAATATAATAATGACAAATCACGTGATTTCACAAATCCATCGCTGCCACCCGGTGATCCTGGCTCAGAAGTAATCGCTAGTGCTGGAGGTCTTGTCAATGCAAGCGATCTATTATTGATTGCGGCACGACAACGGCCAACCATAACAGGTGATAGAATTGGAGGTATCTATATTTATTTATGAGTTTTATTTGTTTGTTTGTTTTTTTTTTCTGCTTCAACTATTGTTTTAACCAATTTCAAAATACGTATATTGCGTTCTCGTCCATACAAATATTCCATAATATTTACTTAAGCTTTTGAGTTTACAATTAATTTATTTATGTGTAATTAATTGTTTGACTGTTAACTGTAATCGATTTGCTCCATATATCTCGCAAGTAAAATACACTACTTAAATCCACTTGACATTCATTATTCGATTTAATGCGATCAATTAATCGGTTTGTTGTGTTTGCCTTTCTTTCACTATTTTTTTTTTTATCTTTCAGTAAATGGTTTGGGTGCACCGAGTGTGATACCACCATTTGCTTTAGGTTTAGGTACACCATTGACAACTGGCGCATACGGAAGTGCAATTCCAAGTCTTGGAGCGTTCGCATTGGCAACGACTACAGGCATCGGTCAAACAAATCCCACATCGCTCAGAGGAATATCAAACGTTTTACTCGTTTCCAATCTCAACGAAGAGGTAAGCACTTTCAATATCAATCATCCCATCATCACACACTTAAAGTGTTTTCTAGAATGATTCTCATTTTTCTCTATTTTATTTTTCAAATGTTCTCATGTTTTTTATTTTATTTTTATTTTATTCATTTTACAATTTACTTATCCGTATGTTTTTTTGTGTTATTTCTTGTTTTGGTTTTTCTGCAAATAAAAAAAGACTAAATGTGCTCAGACTCTCTATAATATTATTTTTATAAACTAGCTCAACTATTTCTATTTCCATGCGCTAAATGTAAATAGGACGCATAATTTTAGAATAGTCGAAACTAGCGTCAAAGATTTAGGGAAAAACAACAATTGCTTAGAACCTTTTATAAAAATCCAATTCTGGATAAATATTCGATCCTATATTACTATGCAGTCCTTGACACTTCAAACGGTCATCTGTGTTTCAATATCACATTTTATCACGTGTATCTTCTTTCATTTCAACATGCACCCAACTCGCGTAACTCTTAAATAAATCTATCTAAAATATTAATCTATATTCTTGTGATTTCTTCCGTTCAACTTCGTTTTTTAAGTATCCACTGATTGAAACTAATTGCTTTCACTCGAATTTTCCAGTATATTTTTTTAAAATTCATTCTTTAGTTTATCATATCATGATTGCATTAAAAAGAAATCAATTTGTTTCGCACTATAATAAAACCAATGTATTTTCGAGGCCGATATTTTTTCTCGCACCACTGGAATTGACACGTATTTCGTTTATAGAACGTGAAATACAAATGGTGCTTTTGAAGTAGTATTAACAAAAGAATTTTTGAATTTGTGACTTTTTTCCATTTATCAAATTGTATTTCTATCCTTTGAAGTTCGACATGGGCTACAATAGATCAACGAGTGTAAAAGCGATTTTATGAAACAACTTTTAAAACCGATGCCCGGAAAAAAAATAAATAAACAAGCAACAAAACATGCAGATGCTTGTCATCTGATACTCGGTTGCTTTTTTGCTTAGTTTTTCTTTCTTCTTTTTTTTAATTGAGTAAAACGCATAGTTTTTCAGCCTGTAGATGATAGCATTTAGTATTTGTGTTTTATTTCTGTATGGTTTTTTTCTTCTTCAACTACTTCATTTTACATCAAAGCTGTTAGGCGTCAAAGTGTTCACACATTTTTTTTTTCTACGCGCCAATTTCCTCTGTGTATTTGTCACATTTTAGCAATGAAACAAGCGACACATGCTTTGTTCTTTGGAAGCTTTTGATTTTTCTTTAGAGAGACTGAACATATCTAGTTAATTAAAAAAAAAATCATTTAACTTCTTTTTGTTAAACATTTTAATTCTTCAATGAATCAAGAGTAACACATAAAATCTAATTAAAAATCGAGACAACAACAAATCAAAAACTATGCTAACTTAACTCTATTCTCTTTCTCTGTAGATGGTCACGCCTGATGCTCTATTTACCCTCTTTGGTACGTCTGCACACATTTTTACTATTAATAAATATTTTTTTTTGTTTTTCGTTTTTCGTTTGTTTTCGTTTTGTTTTTATTAATTATTTTCCATTCATTTTCCCCACTTTTTTCAATTTTATTCGTTTTCGTTTCTTATTTTGCGCGTTTCACTTAATTCAATTTGATAGTTGTTTTATTTTTTTCCATTGCTAAAATAAGCAGCTGCTAATTTGAGCGATTTATTATAAATCATTTATACATTTTTCGATTACTACTAGTTGCTTTGATAAATTGAGAAAAAAAATAATTGTATTCAAGTTATCAAGACATTGGGTATTGCAATGAATGAGAATGATTGATTATTTGATGGAAAACATATCGCTCAATGTCAATGTACCTGCTAAATTTCAATAGCACACAATCCTATGACATTGAAGTCTAAACAAATATATGGCAAAGATAGAAAAATCACTTCACACAACATGAATAATTAATTCTTTAATCGAGCAATTGCACCTAATAATTGTTTCACAAATTTGGAAACACATTTATCGTTTTTCGTTCAACTTGTGTATATTAGGGTGCGGCCCAATGCAAAAACTTCCACTTTTAAGATCCATTCTAGAGGGTGATGTAGTTGAAAATGAAATGAAACGAGAAATTTCATTTTCAACTATATTGCTGATGGGTGATAAAAATTGAATTTTTTGCAACGAAAAAGGATAATGTGTTTCCAATTCCATATTTTGCTACGTATAAGAATAATTGTGCGATAGCCATGTATATACTTGGAATATTTATAGTTAATTAGAAAGCATTTGGTTGAATTCATCAGAAAAGACGTCAATTTTTTTGAAATATGTATCGTGTATTTGATGCTGGTGTTGCTGTTGTCGCTGTAAAGTAGACAAAAATATAAAGCAAATCAAATCTTACGCGTAGAAAATAAAAACAAACTCGAAAGACAATTGAAATGTTCAAAGTTTAGTGAAACTACGTTAAACCCAACTTGAAGATAAAGTGAGCAAGCAATAAACAAAGATAATACGAAAAAAAATTATGTCCTTAAAATTGCGTCTGCTATTTACGGCTTATAGATGTGTGCGTATGACTTTATGATATGGACACAAAAAAAGGCGAAAGAAAAAAGACTGAAACACAGAAGGACAAGTATGAAACATAGATAAAGATGAAGAAAAAAGAGAGAGAGAGCGGTACAGTTGACTTGAAGCTTTATTGTTTGTCACAGAGTGCGTATCAATTCGATCTAATGTAAAACGAGTGGCAGGTGCATCAAAAGTTCATTAATGGAATATATATATATTCCGTATGCTAGTCATTGTCCAAAAGTATTTTGTGCGATAGACCAGCTGCAAATATTGATGCGAATGGTTATTTAAGCAATTTCAATGTTCTACCATGCAATATCATCATAATGTTGGTCAAATGAAATCGACAAGCGTTTGCATTGTCTCCCCCAAAAAATACGTAAACATTTGCACATTTCAAAATTTCATAAAAATGAATACCAAGAAAGACACCGAAGAAGGAACAGAATTTAAAACTTTCACTTAAGAATTATGTGAGCGTTCTAACAAAGTAATCAATAACTCACCACCTCACACTTATAAAAGCACCTACTTATTACCACCTATTCAACCTATTTACTTATTTCATTCTCTACGTGCTCGATTTCATTCGATCAAGTAATATTTCTCTATACATATCAATTTCAATCTCTCATTACGATTGTGTATTAAATCAAATAAAAAACCTCTATCGAGGTGAAGAACGAGTGACG